ACACGAACCAAAACAGGGTGCCAGTAGTAACAAGATAAAGAAGCCCAGCAAGGGCAGAGACAAGCGAAAGCAAGCACAAAGCAGCAAACCAAGCAGGCAAACAATGCAGCGAAGCGAAGCGAGCAAGCAAAGCAAACCACTCCAACCAAAAACCCGACCCACATCCAGAAACAGGACCACCACCCCGGCAGCGACGGCTGCGGCCCAGCGCAGCCGGCGCGTAGAGCGACGCGATCGTTTTCCGACGAAATGGCGAGAAACAGTCGACGAGTGTAAAAGCTTGAGCCAAACGGCGCATTGGCCGTGGCATGGAAACATGCTATGATAAAACTACATGCCCCCAAAAACACAAACAAAGGGGGCCTGACGCTGTGCACAGGGTTGTTCGCGAGGCAAGAGGACGCCAAGGCGAAACTAATGGAACTTGGGCACCGGGCTCACGAACCTTATTAAGTGGAATCAACGAGCCCTTGCCATGGACCCGATGGTCTATGATGTCTTTGAAACTTTGGCACCCCTTCCAAGCCTCACAGAGAGCTGAAGTGGGAAAAAACACATCATGGTGGCAAAAAAAGAAGAAAGAGCGGCTGCTCAAATCACATGTGGGCCCTTTCCAACCAACCTACTAACATGTGATATGAGAAATGCGGGGGCCACTCCAGTCTTTGGTCTGTTCATGCCAAGCCACCTTTGGGATGTGGACGAAGGCCAAACAAGATTTCAATGCTCCAGGCACCCGCTGTGCCTCGTCCAGCCAAAAAAAACGATTCGAGTGCTGCACAAGCCCTATGCATCCAGCAAACCAAGGCTGCTTGCTTGACATGCAAGGTGTAACTGAAGCTCGCCATCAGCTGGGTATGTCATGGCAGACAAATCCCAAGTTGTCACTCTGCGGATTTGGCAGGAGCAGTATTTGAGATTTGGCTGTGGCCCTGGCCTGCGCATCATTGGCAGCAAGCGGCTTCCGGGTTGTCGTCGGAACTGATGGCTGGGGGGTGAGTTGCTGCAGTTGCAACTTCTGCGGCTCTGGTGGCTGTTGGGTCTGCTGGATCTCCTGCTGCTTCTGCTCTGGTGGCTGTGCAGCAATGAGACCTGCAACACGCTGCAAACCACGGTGCCATGCAGCTAGTCACACACGCTTGTGGCAACAAGATGGAGGACACACTCAGGTCTGTGTCGAGCTCCTGAACCCAGCTGCGTGGCAGTGCGCTCCATGAAGACCTTGCTGCTGGGACGGCATGATGTGCCATCACTTGTGACAACTGCTGAGGGGACACAATGCGATGCAGTGCGCCATTGGGCACTTCTTGTCTGCTCTTGCATCTGAGCCTTGCACCCCAGCCCAAGCTCGGGTCTTTGTGGTGAGTGAAGCCTTGCGTCCATTCTCCAGAATCAACTACTTCAAACGCAACGTGTCGGTGGTGCTGTTGTCAGATTTCTCGCGCCTCGGACACGACGAAGGCACCACCCACCAACACCAGGGAGCCGCAAACCACCACGCGCGTGCGCAAGGACTGTGCCTGGGCCTGAGAAATCGGCAATAAGAAAATGCAGCGAACATGTAGATGCACCCAAGCCGTTTCCTTGGCTCTTCTTTTTCATGCTACGTTCTATACACCTGCAGGTGGGTCACCATGATCAGCTTGTGGATCAGCCCATTTTCCAGCATGAGCCCACGTTTCAAAGGTGGCCCACTACAAGGATTCAAGCAGGCATGAATAACGCTCAGCTGGCGTCGAAAAGACGGCACTTTGGCTCTAAGGAATTCGGGCACCGTCTTCACCAACTCTCTAAGTCTGGCCAGCTGAAGCAATCATGAGAATATCAAGGGTTTGTAGGGCGTTAGCAAATAGTAAAATTCACGCCTCGGACGTTCCATACAACTCGCGGCGTTTGTCGCTGCTCTCCCCTCGCCTTCCCCTCTTTCACTTTGTGACATGAAAATGGCCAATCAAACCATGTTCTTAGCCTACCCCGAGTCTGCTAAACATACCGAACTTGGCCACCGCCCATCCACAGGAATGGTTCGGCAAACTGACCCCCTGTGGCAAAGCCAGTGCAAATTGCGGCAAAGCTGCGAAAGGTGACGAGCAGCATGGAATCACCCGATTCTGCAACAAATGTTATGCTGACCAGGTCGTCGTGTCTCACTTCCACCTTGTCTTTGACAGTCACCCCGTTGAGATCTGTTGCGGCCAGCCCATGCAGAATGAGACTGGGCCCATCCTCTTTTTGAGTCATGGAAAGCTGGAAATGGAGGGGTGCCAGCCTTGATCGGAGCTCCTCTGGCAGCACAGCTGCCCAGAATTCAGGCGGTTGGAAACCAGTGCCAACTAACATCTGCGCGTTTGCAAAGCTTGCAGGCAGTGTGCGAATGTCTTCAGGCAAGTCATTCAGCTGTGTGGACTCACCTCCGGCCGCAACGCACTGAATGGAAAACGGTGGGGGGAGTGCGCCTGACACATGCACCACATCTGGTGGAGAGGCAGCAAGCAAAGGGTTTGCCTCAGGACTGGGTCGCTGAACTGCTGATTCGGCTTTTTCACAGCTTGTTGGCAAGCCTGTTGCAGAATCCAAGCTCCATTCGACGCGGAACTGAACAATGGGAGGTGCTTCAGGTTGAAGATGACGAGGTATTGCAACCACGTCGCCATTCTGCACCCTGTACTGCTCCAGTACTAACTTGCCATTCAGCAAGGTTCCTGCAGTGCTGCGGTTTACCAGGACTATGCCGTTTTCAGCTGGGCAAATCTCGAAATGTTCTCGCGAGATGGCATTCCGAAGGCTTTCATCCGGGACCAACGACTGCCAAAACTCAGCAGGTTGCATGGACCGGCCAACCCGCACAGTGCCTGCCGGACCGGCTAGCAGCTGCTTGTTCATGACTGTTGGCTCGACACCGTCTGACCCAGGAAGTAGCCACCACAAGCAAAGCATGCTTGGCCTCTGCTCTGGTTCTTGATGCTCCAGCCACGCCTTAAACTGCAACGCTGGCGCGCTGCCATATTCACACTCCGCCTGCCCAATGGAGATCACATCCCCATTCTGCAGGAGAACCTCCTGAGTCTCCACCCGGCAGCCGTTCACAACAGTGCCTCTGGCGCTGAGGTTTTTGAGTGCAAAGCCCGTGCCAGTAGCACCGCATACCTGACAATTTGCTACATGGGACTTGGCTGACTGATGCCATGTGCCGGCAAAAACTGGACACGAGTGGTTTGGGTACCCATTTGCCAACAGCCCTCCGCCTCAAAGTGCTCTCGTGAGATGGTATTTCTCGCAGCTTCGTCTGGCACCAGCTGCTGCCACAGTGTCGCAGGCTGCACAGCCCGGCCCACTTTGAGCGGCTCCTTGCGAGCGTCTTGTGGCGATAACTTGACGCATGCGCGCTTGCAGAAAGGGATGGGCGTCACAAAGCCAAGTGTTTGTCTTGGGTAGGCAATGCACAAATCTAACTCACCCTTAGGCTAATCTGCTATGCTCGCCTTCTGCAAACGACTTGCACGCCAGTCTGTTTTCGCATCTGTTGTATGAAACGCGGTTTCTGCTGTTCCTCAAGCTTCTGCTAACCACTTCGCATTGCTGCTTTGCTTCCGAGTGTTTCCGCTTTTCATAATTTGTTTCTGCCTCTTTGGGAACTTGACTGAAAAGCCCAATTATTGGGGCACACACACACAAGCTGAACTGTTGATGTTCTACACTTCCTTTGCTTCCCTCGCCTCTTCAGACAATACCCAGGAAACAGTTCAAGTACGACGACCCCTTCGCATGAGCTCCAATGCAAATGGCGCCTGTGAGAGTTCAAGCTCCAGGTACGCCTTGCTATGAAGGCAAATTAGCCTTGACGTCACTGCCATTGCACGGAGTTGCTCTCGGCTGCAAGGTAGTGTCGTGGCATTTGGCATGAATGAACCTGAGGGCCCCTTCACACAAATCAATACTGTGTGATGACAGCATGTTGCTTGGCGGGCATACTTCAGAGTTACCATCGCTGACTTGATTTGCACGCAACCTGTGAGCCCGCAAAGGAAGTGTGAAGCATGCATGTGCGAATTCGCATGCAGAGTTGGCCAACCAATTCCAGTGTTTCTGAGTGGCAGGCGCTTGACTCAGCCTTTGCCCTTCGGCCCCTCCTCTCCCGGGATGCCCTGCCAGGTTGAACAGTCCTTTACAAAGAAAGCCAACATGAGGACAAAAAGCCGCAAGACAGCCACAGCTAATCCCTTCCTATCAATAAATGCAACTATTACAAAGTAATATTTCTCCCAAACCTCTAACTATTAAACATGAAATTGGAATCTTGCGAAACCAGTTCTAAACCAGCAATTGCTGAGCCAATGCCAAATCGATGCTAAACCAATGTCAAACCAATTCGAAACAAACACACATTCGAAAGATGCCATTGAGTTCTGCCTCATACATTTGCATTTTGGAACGATTTCTGGGACCGGACAGCAGAGGACTTTATTTGAACGAGGACTGCAGTGGAACCGAGCTCCCCTGTTACCCGAATGTACCCTGTTTATAAGCATTATGGTTCCGGCCCGAGGCGAACATGTTTATTAAAAGGGAAGGAGGGTGGGGCTATTTATTTTAAACCTGGGACCTGCAAACCTGCACCATTCTCGGGGAGAAGGGATGCCCCTACCGTGTTGTCAAGATGCGCAAGCCTGGAACGTGCATCTCCTGCCATGGCAAGCCGCAAAATGCCTGCTCCAGGTCTTCAAAGGCACATGCTGGCATCGGACAAGGCTTATGGCCTGCGCAACTTGGCAGTCCGTCAGGGATCGTCAGGGACTTGAGGCCCAAATCATCACCTGCAAAATGGCCAAGTTGTCACAACATACAGAATGGAAAGGATTGGCCTCGGTCGCAGCGCTCATGGGTTGACCATGCTTGAGCCGCAACAGTTCGCTAAGGCAGCAAGTGCTTCCTCTGCACTTCGGAGGCCGTAGCAAGGTGCTTGACAAGCATCTCAAATACCCTCAACCATGCACACACGCCTGCCACACAGTGAACAGGCCAAGGGGCACTATCACCTTGGATGTTAGGCTGAGCAGTCACACCTGCTAATCTTCAAACAAGTTCCCTGCTGGAGGAGCTGTGGAGACCTCCGCCCGCGTGAGGCAAGACGTATGAAACCAACGCACGCCATCCCAATGCCAGCAGTGCCTCCTGCATCACTGGACTTGCGAGTGAGATTGTTTGAAGAAACCTGCCAGGGTTCTCGAATGCATTGTTGAGATGCCAACAAAGTACTACCATCAGCGACACATGACACAATACGAACTGCCTCTTTGCTGTTAGATCAAGCGTTCTTGATGTCACATGGGGATACAAGGGTCGTCCGGCGGCAACGGGGTGCATGTCGAGTGACAAGGTATTTGGGATTCTGCTCTAAGTGAGCTTGGTTGTGTTGCAGCTAGTTCACCATAAACGCGGAATGTGCTGGCCCGGGCAAAGACACGTGCTCATGAAGTGAACTCATGGGCCACGGTCATTTGGAAACTCATGAGGCGCCAGCTTCTTCAAGACCTTTGTGCTGTGTGAACGTTTTGAACATCCGGGACAAGTTGGGCATTTGGACTGACACCTTAGCGTTGTGCAGTTCCAACTTTTGTTAGATGCATTGCAAAGCCAATGTATGTGCAAAGACTGGAATGGAAGAGTTGTTGCATGGGGCATGCAGTCTCAACTTTGTGCTCTTGTCTGCGATAGACCACACAATTCAGACTCCTTTCCCAAAATGAGCATCGCTGCGATGATTGGAGGAAACTTTGTTTGACGTTGCTGACGTTTCACATGAACAACTTGGTACTCAACCAAGGATTTCAGTTTGGCACACCCTTGAGCAATCGCACAAGTTACACCATTGCATCACAGCCTGTCTCGTGCGGACGTGTGCTTCTGACTGGCCTCTGGAGTGCATCCATGTCGAGGCTGGGGCATAGTCGCGCAAGGTGCGCCTAGCAAGATAAAGGCAAAACAGCCCACACACACACCAACTGACGAAACCCACCTGACGGAGGCTTGCAAGCCTCCAATCTGTTCCAATGGCACATTGCACACGATGCAAGGTACGAGTTCATAGGTTCGTGGCCAGCTCTGCCACTTCTCCGGCAGCTGCAGCACCTCCTAATCGAGATAGCTTCAGTAGAATGGTTTTGCCTGACCCAGCGCAGATTGCCGCTGCCTTGTGGCGTGGGTTGCCAGACCGGTGCAACATGTGTAGCCTGCGGCACTTCTCAGAGTCAACTGCTGCCGAGCCACAGCAGGCTGAGATTCCGGCCACGCCCGCCGTGTTACACTTGCCTCTCCCACCTGCGAACAGGTTCTGTTGCAGCGTGTTGTGAGCACGGCAATGCTTTTCGCACATGGGAAAGTGGCGCACATGGGCTTCCGGAGAAAGCTTGCGGCTCATGGCCTGCGGCTGATTCAAACATTGTCGCTTATTGCTGTTTGCCCTACAAGTCCTCGACAACACTGCCACACTGACGCCGGTCTTGTTTGGGCTTTGAACTCATGCCATGGGACATCCGCCAGGCAGGGCAGGCCCTTGTGCCGGACTGACGGGGCCTCCAACCAAGCGCTGGAACAAGCACTCACGAGGTCGCGGGCCTCTGCAGCACGTGATGAATATAGTTGCTGTCGGGCTCAAGATATCAAAGCATGTTATGCCACTTTGCCCCGCGTGAACTATATCATGCAACCGTGGCAAGCAGCAGTCACAAAGGCCAAGGACACATGCCTGCCGCAAAGCCTCCTTGCTTGGGTCATCCTTGGCGATTTCAAGTGACACCTCTCTTCAAACCGGCCGCGCCACAGCCCATGCCCAGCCTGCACCCAGCTGGAAGCTTTCTGCGATTTTCTTGCCCCAGGTCAAGCACTCTCAGACGTATTGCTCTCACTGTCCGCTTCTGTCGATTCGTCGCCTGAAGGCTCAGGACACGCCGGCTTGCCGGCGCAACGGCGAGCCTCAGAGCTCTCTGAGCTTTTTCGAAAAGGGCCGCGGCGCGATCTGGCTTTTGGTCGGGTTGTTTTTGTGTTCAAATTGGTCAGGCAAGGTTCGATTATATAGGTTTGGTTTCTGTTTGTCTCTCTCTCTCTCTGCCTCTGCGTGCGTGTGCGTCTGCGCATGCTAGCACAAATTCCAAAGTCATGTTGGTGAAGGCAAAATCCAACCGCATCGTCCCATGACCTTCCGTTTACAACCCTCCATGTCTCTGCTACACCAGAAGCTGTTTCTCTCCCTCTCTTTCCTATAGATTTGGTTGAGGGTTAGTTTAGGGTGGATTTAGCCTTGGTTTAGGGTTGGAGTATGTTCGTATAGTGCCTTTGGTTAAGGTAGGACTTGGGCGAAACATGGTGGCACATGCTTGGAAAGACACTCTTCCAGCTAAAGCTTCCCCAGGAACATGCCAGAAAACAACAACGGCAGAAAAGCCAAGCTTACCAACGCTTGGAACAACTTCTGAACAACGGGAAACATTGCCCCCCAAGAAGGCCTCCCCAAGTTCTTTCCAATCCCAGGGCTTCTTGCCAGTCCAAGTGGCCAGGAAGTGGCAAACTGCCAGAATGGTGACGCCCAGAATGATTGATGCGGCCAGCAGGCCGAAAATGAACACCAGCAGTGCCAGCAAGCCTATGGCTGACTCGAATGACAGCGAGCCCATCTCAAGAGGACCGTTGTTCTTCTTTGGCTTAACATGCACACGCAACAATGTATATCCTGCATGCCACTTGAAACACAGAAACATGCGTTCGGAACGCGGAGGGCAAAATCATGGAACACTAATGTTACTTGACACCAGTGTGACACAGAACAAGTTCCTTGGACCAAAGCAAATGCAAGGACGGAATTCCTGCTCAGGAACCCGTGACTGTGCTCTCCACAGTGCTGCGCAGCATGCCTGAGCGCCATAAGAAACACTGGGTCAAGGTATTTCCACACCCAGGGTCGGGAAACGACGGCATGGCATGCAAAGAAACCGCTGACATTCACTCCGTGTGCAAACATTCCGAGCTGCTGCAGAGACCCGCCGAGCAGCCATCGCAGGCCAGGGTCCAAGCTGCCTGAAGAGGCCAACCGGGGCGTGCGTTGGGCATGTGACCAGTCTGTGACCGTGCTTACGTGGGCATGGCCTTCATCAAGGCCACCAGGACGGCTAGCATAGCCGATGAGAAAGCAGCAAACCAGCCGGCAGTGGAGCTGATGCCATACACATGCCTTTGCAATTCAGGAGCATCCTCTTTTTTTGGGGGGGTTGGTTGGGGAACAAACAGTTCTTTACCAAAAATGGTCAAAGTCCAGACCCTTGAGTTTTATGCCTCCATTTGTCGAGCTTCCCATAGCTGGGCGCCAAGGCCAGGGCGAAGCTCAGAGCAGGTTTCGCGAAGAGCATGAAGACATCTTGAAAGGAGGCGACCGCTGGGATACAGTCTGCCACAATCTCCCAAACCAGCAGCGCTGCAAGGAACCCGATAGACCACCAGCTGTCCAGCCAGGACTCTTCCAAGTGCAATGGAAATCTTTCGCTCACCTTGGAGCCTCAGCACACTGTGTTGCTAGGCCAGCGAAAATCCTGAGTCCTTTCTCCAACCTGCGCCTGGGCCTTCCAATTCCAATCTGATTCTGAATGGTACAAGTCAACGCCTACTTCATGCAGCCAACGTGGCCGATAGCCACCAACAGCACGGGGATAGCAGCCTTCACACCTGTCAAGCCTCACAGGGCTGCGCTTGGCATCATTTGCTGCAACTCGGAACCCCTGGCCAAGCACATCGCATGCTGCTCTCATGTCTGCAAGGCTTGTTTGGAAAGACTGCCTGAGCATGATTTCACAAGCCGGTCTTGGCCAACGCCTTCACGCCTTCCAAACTCAGATTCCTAAATCGCTTGCGCTTGGAAGGTTTCAACATACTGTTTCGCTCAGTGGTGACGCAGCGTGGCTGGCCTGCCAAGGAATTGGCAATGACAAAGTTGCTAACTGCACAAACCAGCTCGGAGCCAGAGCAAATGATCCTCTGGTTCTGCACGTTTTGCACTGGATCTTCGACCCAAGTCAGGTCGGATGAATTCGTGGCCATCACCGGCCGACAAAGAACTGTCCAGCCATGGGCCGGGGTTCTGCATGTGTCGCATCGCGGGGCCTTGATTGATAGAAGCTTGCACAGCTAGAAACAACTTTGCTGTGGTGACTAGAAAGCTAAAAAGCCAGCCACCAGTACATGGCCGGAACAAATGCAAAAACACATGAAAGAAACTGCGGCACATGCCATTGTACTGTTTGCGCCGTTTTTTGATTGGATATATATATATATGTTATATGTGTGTGTTTTCCCGTTTGTGTTTACCCGTGGCGGCCAATCATGTCATCCTAATTGAGACGGCTGTGAGCCAAGCCTGCAGGCTTGAACGGAGGTTGGCCAATGCATATAAGCACAATGTGTACGAATGCTGTCCGGAATAAGGCGCGTACAGCCCAATGTTTGGAACACACCCCTTCGGCCAGCGGAATGATCACCTTGCGCGTCAGGGTTGCTGAGGCAGCTGCCCTGGAACGGTTGCTTGTCGCGGCCGACATGCAGCCTCAAGGAGGTAGCGCTGGCAGCGGCGTTGGATGGCTCGTGGCTTTTGAAGCTTTTCAGCGAGAGCCACACCTGCGACACAGCCATGCAGCCACAGCCTCAAAGGACCCTAAGGAGCTGCATTGATTCACTACGCTCGAGTCTCACGCGTGCACGGCATGGTGGCCAAAGTGCTTCTGTCTCAAGAGTGGCGTCCATGTGACGAAGCCTGGCAAGGACTGCCTTGCTGGCTGTACATGTCTGTGCCAGGTTTGGGCTTTCATAGATTCTTCGTTCCCTGCGCCTGCTCGCCTCTGCGGCACGAAGCGTGTGGAGAGCTGAGTCCAATGCCTGACAGGTGGCCTGTGGAACTGCGCGGCCGGCAGACTCCCGCCTCCTTGTGGGCATGGTAGTCTGCCTGGACTCAACTTGCCCTCAAAGCGCGCGCTCAGGGTGTTTCGGCCCTAGTGCGGGCACTTGTGCCTCCACTAAGCGAGAGTTCTCTGGCATGAGGTCAGCATCCTGAACGCTTTGGGAAGGTAGCCCGCTCATTTTGGTGATTTAGGCCCTACAGCACTGGCCAAACATGGGGGGCGGGGCTGATTCCATGACCCCCAATTCTGTTTTATTCGCGGAGGTGGGGATTAGACTCCTGAAAAAGATTTGTTTCTGGTCTTGGAGAATAAAAGGCACCCAAAGGGAAAACAAGGACATGGACCCTCCCAGCTTTTTGATAATTGTGGTCTGTGGGCCGTTTTGGACGTTTTCAGCCCGCCCACGCTCATTTTGGTCATAGTTTCTAAATCATGCTGGTTCTAATTTTCGCTCAGTTTGGTCGTAGTTGCAAAACCTAGCCAAATCATATTGGCCTGAGTCAGGCAACCTACCAAATCAGAGCAATCACACCAGTCAAACATGACTTGATCGGTGCAGAATGACCGATTAACTAGGACCGACACGATAATAAACTAGGACCGCCACGATGCCGTGCCCCTTTGTAAAGCATTCCCACGGATGTCCGTGGCGCATCGTGGTGCATGTTGTGGCCGGCAAACGGCCAGGCCTGGTCCCGCAGCCAGCGCCAACCTGAGGATGGAGCACAACAGCAGCGATACAGCCATGGCCGAATGCTTTTGGGACCTGCGGTTGGGGCTTGAAATCTAGGATCGCAAAAACACTCGAGATCAGCCCTAAGAGCCTGAATGAGCAAATGCGTGATAACTGCTCAAGTAACTTTAAAGGAGGAAACTGAATGTGTGTCAAGCTGGTTAGTCGGGCAATCATGCGTACGCACATGCGCTCACCCAGCCAGCGTCCCCCAGCTCCCTGTTGGAGACAATCTCCGCTACTTGCATATGAACAACAAATTTCTACCAGGCTAACCACGAGAAGACATCCAAAATTGCTGGGCGTGAAGGTGATGGCTCAACACGCCCCACAGGTTGGACGTGGCGTGTCCCGTGCCTGCTAGCAACTGTTTTGTCGTAGTTTCTGCGTGCGCGTGTATGTGTGAACCCTCATGAGCATGAGCGTTGGTTCACTTTGCAGGGGAGGCGTCATTTAGGTTCTCAGGCAAAAAGGTAGCATGTGCTAGTGGCACGCTGCTCACATACTAGCGTTGGATTTCGTCGCGTTCTTGGAAGCGGTGCTTCAGGCCCGTCCCAGCGACTTGCTGATTGAGTTTGCTGCAGGCTTGAGGTCCAGCCAAGTGACGTCAGTTTTTGTCTCGCCGGCCCGACGCAGAGGGGCGTTGCTCACGAGTTCGTTGTGCGTTGTTTTTCTTTGGTCGCCTCTGGCACAGCGAAGCAGCCTGGGGCTAAGGGTCTTATTTCTTGCTTCTTCTCCCTAACCGCCATGGCGGGGCCAGGTACAAGTTTCCCGGTCGCCTTGGGTGCGTTGTCGCAGCTGGGGACCGTCCGGCCATCGACGTGTCCTTCAGCCGTGGGCGTTTGTGCAGCTTGGTGCATTTTGCAGGGATGCACAGCATTTCACCGGGACTGTCCCGAATGAAGCTATCCAGTGAAGCGGGATATCCAGTTTGGCAAACTGGATGTGCCTGAAAATGGTGTGATGTTTTCCTTGCCTGAGCTGTTGGTGACATGTTGCGATATTAGTGACCGGGTTCTTCGATTTCAGCGCATTTCAGCTTAAAGGCCCTTCCTTCCCGTGGCTGGCGCAGTTTGGGACGGGAGTGCTCTTGGATTGTTTGTTGCCTTTTCCAGTCGCAGAGGGCACTGTGGCTCCAGCTCGGGGGGATATTCTGTTCTGTCTTGGTTTGCTTGTTTGTTGGTTGATTTCTGTTCCCGTCACGCGCGCCTGGGCGGGTCCTGCGCGGCTGGCGGGGCGCACACTTCGCCCCAGGGCGGTGAGTGTGTGTGTGTGGGACGCGTTCAGGCACACGCAAGCGTGCTGTCTTGGCGCTTGCGTTGTTGCGTGCGCTGTGGGGAGTCGGCGCGCACCCCTGGCCCTTCGGGCGTCCTGATGAGGATGGGGCCAGTGGGTCCGAAGCTCCTTTCCTGTTTAGACTCCATGGGCCCCTGCCGGGGCTTGTCCTGTTGTGCCATTCTCTTGTCAGTCTGTTGTTTGGTGCTGTCGGCATGTTCATCACATCTCACCATGGGGGTGCGTGCGTGCGTGCGTGCGTGCGTGCGTGCGTGCGTGCGCGTGCGCGCATGACAGTGTGTGTGTGTGTGTGTGTGTGTGTGTGTGGGTGTGCGTGTGCGTGTGCGTGTGCGTGTGTGCGTGTGTGCGTGTGTGCGTGTGTGCGTGTGTGCGTGTGTGCGTGTGTGGGTGCGTGTGTGCGTGTGTGCGTGTGTGCGTGTGTGTGCGTGTGTGTGTGTGTGTGTGTGTGTGTGTGTGTGTGTGTGTGTGTGTGTGTGTGTGTGTGTGTGTGTGTGTGTGTGTGTGTGTGTGTGTGTGTGTGTGTGTGTGCGTGTGCGTGCGTGTGTGTGTGTGTGTGCGTGTGTGGGGTGTGGTGTGTGTGTGTGTGTGTGGTGTGGTGTGTGTGGTGTGTGTGTGTGCGGAGTGACAGAATACCCTGTCACCAACATCAAGCTTTCACCTTTACCACAGGGGGATGCTGGGGACCTGTGCGGTCGGCATCCAACGAAGACGCCGCACTTGTCCTGTGATATCGAGGCTGATCACCTCGACGTACCTGTGCATTTCGTGTGATGCAAAGTCCTTTTGGCCCCCTTGGTTGCGGCGATGTTTGTGCTTCCTTGTTCTTTCGGGTAACGTGTTCGCTGCTAGAGGGAAGCCGAGTGCATCGCGAGCAGAATCCACACCCACTCGAGACTCATCAGTTGTACTCGAGACTCATCAGTTGTACTCGAAAGATTAGCACCCTCCATCTGGAGTTTAAGTGTGTACACCCCATTCATGGGGAATCCTCGGGTGTACCCATTGTGTGACCCCGGGCCGGCTTTGTCGGAAAATTTGACCTCAACGTACTTATCATAGAACAGCGGAATTTCACATTTAACCAGGAACGAGGTTTCACTAAAGGGAAGACAGCCGTCACATCATAGAGACGTCTCACAATTGCTGCTGATGGCTGCTGACTTGAACTTGCGTTGACTTGCATTTTGTCGGATTCGTTTCTCTCAAGATTGAGGTGTTGCGGTTGTGAGTTGGTTGCGCCACCATGTCTCGACGTGATGATCGTGACAGATCCAGGACTCGGCGCAGACGTGATCGGAGTCCTTCCCCTCAAGCTCGTAAAGCACGCCGACGTGAACACAATGACAACCAGGTCTCGGAGGGCATGGATTGGAACAACCTGGTATCCTGGCAACACAATTCCGGCTACAACTCCGGCAACAATTTCCCGGTGATGCCGAGCAATTATCAATCGATTCCAAACCCCACGCAGCAGTTCCATCATTCACCGGTCAACTACATGATGCCGGTTCCTCCGGAGCCCACGCCAGCGAAGTTCATGACGCCCGTGATGCCACCACCGGTCACTCCCTCGCAAGCTACACCATCACCTGGATACCCTGCAGCCCTGCCAGTTCGACCTCAGAAAGCCTGGCTTACACCATCGGTTGACTGGACACCTAGAGATGGCATGCTAGACATCAACCAGCTCTACAACTTCAGCCTGCCCATGACGGTCGCCAACACCCCGCACAACAACCTACGTGACATGTCCGGCATGGACATTCGTGACGTTCGCCTGGTTCAGGTCATTCACGGGGGCATCACCAACTGGCTGCTCCGACCGTTTGCTCACGGCAGATTCGTGACGTGGGAAGGCTTTCGCACTCGCACCGAAGCCTTACTTTGGAGTACCTGTTCCAAACTACTACGACGATCACAGTCGATCAACCTGCTTACCTTGGAAAAGGACCTTGCCAGCTCACTGGGGCTCAACCTGGACGACTTCAATCAGCGGATCAAGGTTCATGACCATTTGGCCAACTTGGTGCTTCAGTTTCTTCAGCAACACCACGCCACACTCACGCCCTCTACCCAAACGGATGACATGGTCAAGAAGTTCAATGATCTAAATCGTGCTCATGAGTTGCTCCAGGCTCAGTATTCAGCATCGTTACGCGCTTCGACTTCCCCCACGGTGCCAAACCAGAAGGATGATGCAGAGTTGGTTACACCACCACCGGCCAATCACACACAATCTTCGTCACCGCCCAGCTCCCTCCCTACGGTCAGCGCAGCGGCCCTTGATGGCAAGTCGTTTGATGGCGCGGTGCAACCCCGGATCATTCAGTCTCTTCGCGGACTTTCTTCACCGCCTTCCAAGCCGGCGGCGTCAAAATTGCTCACCATGCACAGCACGCCGGATGACGTCATCAAGTACTACACATGGACTAGTGATCAGCCACGCTTGTATCTCAAGCAATCGCCCACAACCACCACTTTGGCGTCATTGATCAAGTGGGCCAATCACCCGTCCCGTCTCAACGGCAACAAGTCCTTGGATTCCATGGCGATGCAACTCCTTCAGGCGCGTCAACGCATGCCAAAAGGAGACGCACCTACGTTTGCGGCGATGGCGGCTCTGTGGGGACTGGAGCCTGGCTACCTCACCAAGCTCACTGACAAGGCGCTGTGTCACCTCATCGTGACCGCCCGCTTGCTCACTGGGTGAGCAGTTCCCTTCGTTCACTTATGAGCCCGGAGCGGCAGCTGTGTCACGTTTGATGAAAGGTTCAAAACTCGTCCGTCCTCTTCTTGCTTTGCACTTGTTTGATGATGCGCTTGTCTGTGCTTGCGTTGTCAATTGCTTTGTATTAATTGCCGCTTGCATTCATGTCGCCGCCACATTGTAGATTTCATTGGTTGCATGTTCACCATGTTGGCTGAGCTTCGCCGCTGTGGAATCTATGATGATGTTGCACAATGGCATTCCTTAGACACCTTTCTGCACTCGTTGACAATGTTCTCTACGTGCTGGCAATACTGCTTTCCTGGACTTCCACCACCGTCGATACCAATGGATGAATATGAGTCAGTTGTACAACTAGCTTGGTTGGGCCTTATTCTGG